AGACGCTGGAAGACGTCTTCCAAAGGATTTTTATTACTTATATGGACAATTGGCGCCGGAACACGACAGCTGAGCAAGAGGCCCTCCAAGCCAAAGTTGATGCTGAGAACTTCTACTATGTCATCCTGTACCTCATGGTGATGATTGGAATGTTCTCTTTCATTATCGTGGCCATCCTGGTGAGCACCGTGAAATCCAAGAGACAGGAACACTCCAATGACCCCTACCACCAGTACATTGTAGAGGACTGGCAGGAAAAGTACAAGAGCCAAATCTTGAATCTAGAAGAATCAAAGGCCACCATCCACGAGAATACTGGTGCGACTGGGTTCAAAATGTCCCCCTGATAAGGGAGAAAGGCACCAAGCCAACATCTGACATCCAGACATGAAGAGATGCCAGTGCCACGAGGCTAATCCAAATTGTCATTGCTTAGAAGAAAGTGAATTCCTTGCTCTCTGTTGAGAATTTTCATGGAGATTATGTAGTTGACCAATAAAGATAGATGACATTTCAATCTCAGTGATTGATGCTTGCTTGTTGGAGCAATAGTTTGTGCTGAAGACCTCTTTTGCTTTCTGGGCAAGTAAATGTCATTTTAATCAATGTCAATAGTGAAAATAAAGTCAAATTTGAAGTAAAGTGTCTGGGCAGCGGCCTTGGGGATAGAAAGGAGAGATTTACAAATCACTGAGTCTTCTTTCTCATGAAACATCATTTGTGTGTGACAAATTCAATTTATAAATAACCCAGATGTATTATGTAGAAGCTGAGGCTCAAAGGCTATCACTTGCTTACCAGACAGACATAGGAGCATTTATCTATAACATTAATTCTTGAGTGTTGAATTAATGAATAAGCAAACCATAAGGTTACTTTATACCTTATGGTTTGATAAGGTATAAAGAGATGAATAAGCAAACCATAAGGTTACTTTGTATTTATTGTTTTCCTGGTCTTTAAGCTATTTAGAAGTCTTAAGACAGAACGAACATTTCTCTTTTTCTCTTTTTCTTTTGAGACAGGGTCTCGCTCTGTCACCCAGGCTGGAGTGCAGTGGTGCAATCTCAGCTCACTGCAGCCTCAATCTCCCAGGCTCAAGTGATCCTCCCACCTCAGCCTCCCTAGTAGCTGGGACTACAAGCACGTGTGCCACCACACCCAGTTAATTTTTGTATTTTTTTTTTTTTTTTGTAAAGACAGGGTCTCACTATGTTGCCCAGGCTGGTCTCAAACCTGAACAAACATTTCAAACGACAAACAATCCATAACAGAGAAGTCGAATATTTAAGAACTACCCAGTATAACAAGAACACATTTTAAATCTAACATTTAAAGTTTTGCAGAAAACTAATCTTAAAAAGTTCTCATTAAGAAAAAAAGTTACAATGTTGCTTTATACATGTATTCTTTTAACTCAGTTTAGTTTTCCTCTATTTACAATTACTTATTTGCATCTGTGTTTAAGAAGCTAAAGGATACAGAAAGGGTCTAAATTGCTGATGCCTTCTGAAGACCTAGACAGGAACTACTTAATATTTTACACCATGTGGTGCAGGATATCATAGAATGTCAGGGCTGATCATTCTACTGTTGGCAGAGACCACTTCACTTACAGATGAAAAAACTGTAGTCCACTGAGAGGAGATGATTTCATTCACTAATTCAGTCAGGCAACATTGACCTACTTGGTTCACTGGCCTAGACCCCAGGAGCATAAGGATGAACAAGGCTGGGCTCGGGGGCTCACGCCTGTAATCCCAGCACTTTGGGAGGCCGAGGTGGGCGGATCACCTGAGGTCAAGAGTTCGAGATCAGCCTGGCCAACATGGTGAAACTCCATCTCTACTAAAAATACAAAAATTAGATGGGTGTGGTGGCAGGTGCCTGTAACCCCAGCTAATGGGGAGACAGAGGCATGAGAATCGCTTGAACCTGGGAAGGGGAGGTTGTAGTGAGCCGAGATTGTACCACTGCACTCCAGCCTGGGTGACAGATGCTAAACATCATAGTGCAATATGACAAGGTCCTAACAGAGATCAATGCAAAGGGGACACAGCCAGCCAGCACAAGGACAGGAGGGCATGTCTAACGCAGGTCAAGATCTTCTCTCTCAGAGCAGTGGAGAGTAGCAGGCCAATGGCAGCAGAGAGGTGTGGGGCCTTGGCATCCCATAGCTTCATGCCTCCTAGTCTACCCTGTTCTTCTCCCTACACCCCAGCCAAGGCACAGCAATGATGGGCAAGGCCTCAAGCCTCAGGGTGTTAGGACAAAATTTAGAAAAAGAGGCTCTTCTTCAGAGAATGCTTATAGAACTCCTTATTCCAACCACAAGCTTTGTCTCTTTAAAATTAGAATGAGATATACACAAGGTATCTACTTCTTAATAACGGATTTGCAATTATGCCACCTGAAGCATTGAGTGCAGTGTTAGAGAAAACTATCCATATTCCAAGAGCAGATGTAGGAAGAGTGACCTCCCTCCTCAGATCAGAAACCCAGAAATGCTGTCCCACCCAGAAACATCCATCTCAGAGAGGCCAGAGCAGCCATCAGGCTTTAAATCCCAGCCGTCTGCTCTGCATCTAGACAGAAAACCGAGGTTTCCATCAGATGACAAAGACCCTCTCCTTAACCAAATTTTCAGGCTCCTCTGAGTCCTCTTCCTGACTACAGCCCAACTGTGCGCTATAAAAACTACAGACTCTTGGCACAAATGATTTCGCCCACCTTCGCACACACTAAGAGACTTAAACGCTAACATAGGTTCTAAGAGCTGAAAACTAAAGTACCTGCCTGAGAAAAGTGAACGCCGCCTGAAGAATTTACCATTTGTTCCAACCGAAACCTGGTGACAGGCAGATAGTCCCCTGATCCCTCTCTTAAAGCAGTTACTTTAGAAAGTTTACAATTATAAATCCTTTCTCTCTCCCTTGAGATGTAAATCTTCTACCATTCAGAACTGTACTGTCTCTTTGAAATGCAAACATTCAAACTCTCTTTGTTTGATGGGTGCCTTGCTCTAACTTACTGCCCCCCATCATAGGCAGAAGTTTGTTTCTCCTCTAGATATGAGCCATTTAACAAACACAGATCACACTGACCAACCCCTTCCCACTTTTTATGCATTTCCACTTTCTTGACTCTGCTCAAGCCCCATCCCCACTCAGTTACCTTTGCACAAAGGGAAGTTGAGCTGGGCCTCTTCCCTCTGGCAATAGCTAATGATTTCAGTCAATCCTTACTGCTTTAACTAGTGACTGGCTTTCTTTACCTTTGACACAGGTAAACACATGGAGAGCAAAATCGAGGTTTTTCTGGTGGAGTGCAGTAGCTCATGCCTGTAACCCCAGCACTTTGGGAGGCCAAGGTGGGAGGATCACTTGAGGTCAGGAGTTTGAGACCAGCCTGGCCAACATGATGAAACCCCACCTCTACTAAAAATACAAAAATTAGCTGGGTGTGTTGGCGGGTGCCTATAATCCCAGCTACTCGGGAGGCTGAGGCAGGAGAATTGCTTGAACCTGGGAGGTAGAAGTTGCTGTGAACCGAGATTGTACCACTGCACTCTAACCTGGGCGACGGAGTGAGACTCCATCTTAAAAAAAAAAAAAAAAATCGAGGTTTTCCTAATTAAGTACATTTTATTATCATCACTGAAAGTACAGGTGATAACATAGAGGGTTATCAGCCAACTTCACTTTTGGGGAATGAAAAATGCTGAATCTCTCCAAGCAAGTTGGGTGTCTAGTGGTTGAAGCCATCTGCCAAGATTGACACTCTAGGATCCATGCCCACCCAACCTGGGCTTTTCACTTTCAACCCAGCAACTGAAAATGCCAGTTCAAACAACTTGCTGTTTTTTTCTACCCCATTTGCTTTTAGAGTTCCTTCTGCCTGTTCTACTGGCTCCATATGACCGGAATATCACTTATTTCATAAAGCATAGTTCAGATGTTATTTCAAAAGGAGCCCAGGATAGTGACTGATTTGATAGAATCTAGACCCAGATTACCCAGGGTCAAGTCCCAGCTCTGGTACTTGCGGCCTTTAAAACCACGGAAAAATTACTTTAATCTCTTTGTGTCTCCATTTCCTCATTTGTGAAATGGTTATCATTATAGCACCTCCCTTACAGCCTTGTTATGAGACTCAGGCAATAGCCACGAAGTGCTTAGAACAAAGCTATTTTTGTAACGTTCTCCAGGAACACTTCCCTTAACAGAACCAAGCCCTCCACCCCTCAGTTTGTTCTTCCCTCCACACCCTCTACCATTCTAACATAACCACAAAAAGAGTTCTGATGGGATTTGGAGTTACACTGCCTGGGTTCGAATCTCAATTCTGCCACTGCCAGTCGCGCGTTTTCTATTGCCAGCCACCTTACTCCCCCCGGCCTCAGTTTCCTCATCCTTAGAAGGGGAGCAGAGCACATGGTGGTAACTCCCTGCACATTCCTCTCGTTCCTTGTATTGGGTGCCCAGTTTGTGCCCTCCCATGGCGCTAGCACTGAGTGGGCTCAAACTCTGCACGCGTTTACTAAGCATGTTGACTGAAGAAATCTGGGAACCTAGTACCGGGGCACCATACCGTTACCCCAAAGGAAAATGCATGCACTTTGTCAGAGAAGACGAGCACTGCGTCTGGAAACCTCTTAAGGGCACCCACGTGTCCTCGGCTGCAGACAGCAGCGAGGAGACACCCAGGTAATGCGAGACAGCGGAAGGCGGAGGGGTCCCGCGACAACCCACCCTCCAGCTCAGGTGAGTTCAGAGCGAGAACACACCGTCAGGCTTTGACAAAGGCACCCGATCCACACCCCAGCGCCTCCCCACCGGGTCCTACGTGGACTTCAGCCTCCAGCCTTAGGACCGAGAGCTGCTGGCCAAGGCTGCCCGCCTGGGCTCACTGCGCCTGCGCACGGAGCGGCGCACCCCAGGACGGCTGCCCGGGCCCACTGCGCCTGTGCACGGAGTAGTGCACTCAGGTCGCCTGCACTGGCCCATTGCACCTGCGCGCGGAGTGGTGCATTTCGGGACGTGTAGTTTTCCCTGGCAGGACCGTGGAAGTCTTGGTTTGTGTGCGGCCTGGCGCGGGAGGCTCCGCCACCGGGATCAGTAAGTGTGTGACGTCGGGGTAGGAGGGTGTGACCCAAACTCCAAAAGCTCTTTGGGGTGCTGCGATCTCGCGGCCGGCCCTGCGCTCGAGTTTTCCCTCCTAGACAAAAGTCGGCGGGCGCCCGGTCGCGCCGGGGCGGGGATCCGGAAGGTGAAGGCCGCCAGGCTTCACAGCGGGGCGCCCCAGCTGGACCGGGCCGTCGGGCGCCGTCAGCCCGCTGAGCAGCGTGTTCCGGCTGGCACGTGGCCCGGGCGGGGCCCATGATTGGTTCAAGGCTACGGTGTTGGTCTCCGGCGGGTCTAGGGGGACGAGCAATCCTCTGGAATGGTGGGGGAAGCGATGACAGCCCCTGGCCCTCATCCTCCGCTTTGGGGGATGGGGGGTGGTGGGTGGGGAGGGCAAGTGTTTCTCCCTGAGTGTTGGGGGAAGGGGGTGAGGAGAGGACCCTGAACCGGCCACCGGGTTACCCAGGAGGAGCTGAGGCCCAGAGAGGTTCAGCGACTCGCCCAGGGTTGCACAGCGAGCACAGGCACCGACGTTGCCCTCTGGGGCCTGGACTTCCAGCAGGGAGAGACGCAGACACCTGTCATCGCTTCTTGGCGGATCCCTGACATGTTGAGTTGTGGAGTCTGGGCAGCTGAGATCGGGCAGGGCTGGTTTCTTGAAGGTCAAGGCCCCCCGTGTAGCGGGCCAAGTCATGCCCAAGGTTCACCTGGCAGCCCCCTCCCTGGACCTACCCCTCCTTATGATTGGGTGAAGGGTTGGGTGAAAAGGGTAGAGACCGGGGATGAGAACAGTTTCAGAAAGTTCAGACAGAGGGTGCAGCGTGATTAGTGACTGGAAGGAGACAGCAAGCAGTAGACTGATCCTTGAATTTGTTAGGTGTGCCAAGAAGAAGTAGTATTAATAGATTGTGGACGACACATTATCCATATTGCTTTAGTTGGTCTAATCAAAATAAGCGAATAGCTTTTTTGTTTCTAAGAGAAACCTGACAAAGGAAGACGGTATTTTTGCAGTGAAGGAAATAGAAATATTTGGAGTTGTATCTAAGCCACTTGTTACTTTTGTGTTTGAAGCTAAGATGGTGGATAGTTCCAGGGAAAGTTAAAAATTTCCCACACTTCATAGATTTTATGCCCCTCAAAAACATCCCCACCTTGTTGGCTTTTGCGGTTCAACGCTCAGATACCAGCTGCCTCTTTTCTAATATTGCATCAGGTGTACATATGGCAGCAGAGCAAATAGCTTACTGATACTTTTAGCTTTTTTCTTCTCATTTGCCAAAGGCTCTATGAACATGGCTGGCTTGGGCATGTAATTGAAGGGAGGTGGGGAAAAGTGGTAATTCAGAGGGAGAGGGTGGGAATGAGCAGGGCAGATCAGGGTGGTTCACCCTCTTGACTCCCACCTCACTGCAGCCCTTCTGCTGCTATTGCAAATTGACTCTAAATATGTTTCTTTCCTAAAGAGCTTAAATTTGATCACTCCAGGTATGCAGTTGAGGCAGCCGCCAGTATATTTTGGCAGTCAGGGTCTGTGATATCAGAGAGGATGGTGAATTGTGAATTCCAGAGTTGCAGAATTGTTCTTTAGATTCTGATTTTTTTAAAACTTTGGTTCAGAGGGTTAATGACTTACCCCAGGTTATATGCCACGCCATGGGTGCCACCACGAGTAGAGCTCAGATCTCCGGTTCTCCTGGTCCTCAGGCTACTGATCTTTATTCCCTGCCCTGCTGTCTTGGAATGACTGCATTTTGCCCTGGATGTCACTAGCCTATATCCACTAGCTTGGTGTGTCCGGTCATGGAAGGAGAGAGATTTAACATAACAAGAATGGCTGACATTCAGTGCTTTCTGTGTGTTGGCCGTGGTGCTTAGTGTTTACAGTCTAATCTGCAAGAGAATTTACAGACAGGCAAGTTGAGGCTGAGTGAGGCCAAGTGACTTGTCCAAGGTCACACTGCTAGTGCACATAGTACGTGTTTTCCAGAGGGCCAGACCGCTGGATATTTTTTCATTCATTTCCTCCTGTAAGATCGTTGGACCTATTTCTCATTCTTGACTTTGGGAATCAATATTCTACATACATCAATTCACTGGGTATGCAGTTTTGTCTCAGAAAATTTTCAGGGAACAGCCAGACTCATCTACTATATCTGTATGCAACTCAATTAAAGCAGAAATTATAAAAATAAAATTTGTAAGACCTTTAACATTTTAATATACAACATAGCTATTCACTAAGATTATTAGAGATACTCAAAGTGAAAATTGTAGCAACAGGTTATAACATGTGAGGAGCATATTTCTTTAGGGCAGGTCAGAATCTGCTGCTCTTTAAAGACAAGTGGGCCATTTACACATGAAGGTAACGAGCATGTTCAGCCACCATCATTACAGTTAAACAGAGCTACGATTTAAATTCCTATCGCTACCTTATCTGACTTTGAAGAAGTCATGGGGAAATCTTGGCTACCTTGTGCCAACTGCTAGCTTGTTTTCAAGATATTATAATCTTGAATAGATGGGAGATCTTTGTAATTGAAAGTTTTTAAAAAAACATCTTGCCTGAAGTTCATCTTATCCCCGTTCTAAAGGCCTCTGACATTTTCAGCCACTTTTCTTAATTATGACGGTAAGTACATTTCAGGAGAAGTGTTTCCCTGACGTTTGAATGCAAAGCTCTCTGCCTGTGTCAGGATAGTGCCAAGGTTAGAGCCCTGGAGCCAGACTGGATGGGTTCGAATCCCAGGCCCCCCGTGAGACCCTCGATGTGTTACGTAAATTTTATTTCCTCCTCTCTAAAGTGGAGGCAGTAAGCTGTTTCATGGGGTAGTTGTGAGGGCTAAATGCCTTAACCCGCCTAAGCACTTTAGCCACTTTTTGTGTCTGGCACGAAAAAGTTAAGCTATGATTATTGTGCTATAAAGCACTGAATTTCAGAAAACGTAGGGGCACCGAACACGATCTGCTTGACGCCTTTCTTCACTTACAGATGGGACTGAAGCCCCAGCAGAAAGTCACTTACCAGAGGGTGTAGGTTCTTCATCCAGAGCTCAAGTCTTCTTGGGGTAAGTGTCATATTCTAAGAGTAGTGACCTACAAGACCTTGGAGGGAATCCCAAGGCTTGGGCTGCCGGCCCTGCCTTCTTACTTCCATATGCCACAGTGTGGCATATGACCTGGGGTAAGTCATTAACCCTCTGAACCAAAGTGCTGTCATTTAAAAAATCAGAATCTAAAGAACAATTCTGCAACTCTGAAATTCACAATTCACCATCCTCTCTGATATCACTTCCTTCCCCATCTTCTACTAGGTCTCCCTCAAGCTTTAGAGAGAATTCTGCATCTGAATTGCATCCGACAGTTTTTCTGCCCTATCCCTTATTCCCTTGCTCCCAGATCATCTTCGAAAAACCAAATTGAACTTCATTAACACTCAGAGGACTTGACAAAGACACCCAGACGAGCTTGTGTTTCAGTCTGGAGGCAGGTGGAGGGACGGATTTTAGACTTGGGCTCTTAGGTCCACAGATGAATGGAATGGGAGCCCATGTTCCCTCAGGAGAGGTGCTGTGCTGCTGGGGGCTACAGAGAGCTGCTGAGGAGAGCTTTCTGCTCAGCAAGGGCCAGGCCTGTCTGGGCCCTCGCCCAGCCCATCCACTTCCCACCAGTCTCTCAATCGCCTTGTCAAGGTCACAGCCCACCTCTCTGCGGAGTTGGCTTTCTGTTCACATGCCCTCTCTCCATCAAAGAGACATCTTTCTAAGCTGGTCTGCCCTAGGAACTCCAAACTGTCCTGTTTCTTCCTGCCCAGATCAGACTTTCCAGCTCCCTGGACTTGACCTTCCAGCTGCCTCTCATGTACTTGTCTGTTGGGGGTTTGTGTTGATCAGGAGTGAATTCACAGTCTACCATGAACTGGAAGGTGAGTATAGTTTTAAATATTTATGGCTTGGGGTTTTTTTCTTCCTTCTGATTGTGAAAATTCAGAATAACAGTTCTATACAAGTAGACTGATTAAAAAGAAAAAGTAGGTGAAAGCCTAATATTTATGTTTCATTTTAAGTTAAAATGTAAATGTACATTTACTCACTGGACTTCTGGAAGAAGGCCAGGCCTTTTCTTTGAGTGTACATTCACTAACTTCAAACCTTCCTCATTTTTGTTATAAAAACTATACCTTTAAAGCTTTACCTGCAATTTTGCATTGTGCTTTCTTTTTTTATACATTTTTTTTTTTTTTTTTTTTTTGTAGTGATAGGGCTCCACTATGTTACCCAGGCTGGTCTTGAACTCCTGGACTCAAGCCGCCCTCCTGCCTGAGCCTCCCAGAGTGTTGGGATAACAGGAGTGAGCCGCCATGCTCGGGCCATGTTGGTTCCTTTAAAGTAGATGCAGTGGACTGAATATTTGTGTTTCTCCAAGTACATGTGTTGCAACCATAGTGCCCAGTGTGATGACATTTGGAGTTGGAGCTCGTAAGAGGTAATTAGGTGATGAGGCTGGAGCCCTAATGTTTGGAAGAGTGACTTTATTAAAAGGGCTCCAGAGCGCTCTCTTACCCTCTTTCTGCCGTGTTGGGGGTACAACAAGAAGCCAACCATCGGCAGTGTGGAAGAGGGCCCCGCTAGAACCCCCTGTACTGCACCCTGATCCTGAGGCTTCCAGCCTTCCGAACTGTGACAAGTACCTCTTCAATAAGTCACCCCGTCTGTGGTCCTTTGCTCTAGGAGCCTGCATTGACTAAGACAGTGGATTAAGATCTTATGAGCAGTGCACACACAGAATCGTTCCAGCGTTTCACGCTCTTCCCTAACCTTTCACAGTTGTCTTGCCAACAGCATTTTTTTCCAACTCAAACTTGAGTCTTTCAAAGCATTCAACTTAGTTTTCGTAAAAACTCTTGCTTTACACAGTCATATTTCACAAGTGTGATGTTTAAATAAGTTATGGAACATAGCGTGAAGTACAACTTAAATAAACTGCTTGGCGAGTAAACACACCTGACCCCTGTGAAACATTAGATTCAACTGGTGGGAGCAGAAGTTCAAGGGCAGCCAGGGGTAGGTCAGCAATCAGGTTTCACCGAGAGAAAGGAGAAGGTCATTGTAAGTCCCGGAAGTCAATAAGGTGAGGTGGAGGTTGTTTAAGAGAGCAGCCACTAAAATAACGTTTATTGTAGTCACTTCGCAAAGTCTAAAATCAAGCAAAAGTTGTACATCGTCTCACCATCTAGAAATGGCTACTATTAACAATCTCAGTATATTCACTTTTTCTGTATGTATGTATGGCATGTTTTCATACATAGGATCTTATTATATGTGTTTTTTTCAATTATTATAAACATTTTCTTCAAAACATCCCACTTTTTCTGTATGTATGTATGGCATGTTTTCATACATAGGATCTTATTATATGTGTTTTTTTCAATTATTATAAACATTTTCTTCAAAACATCCAGTGGTTTTCTATCGCAAGGAGAAACTGGAAAGGTCTGGAAGCAGGATCTGGGAGGCAGGAAGGTAGCTTTCCCATCTTCCCCAGCTCTGAGGGGCGAGGGGCTTGGCAGGCCCTGCAGGAGGGCCGAGGGCCCAGGACCTGGTGTAAGTTAAAGATGCAGAGTGAGTGTTCTGTGAAGGGTTGGAAGATATAGGAGAGTTTGTTTAGAATGCCTTGAGGATCAGAGCTCACGGTGGAAAGGTTGGGAAGGAAAGAAGAGGCAGTGAGAGGATGGAGAGGGGAAGGAGCGGAACGCAGTGTGGGCCGAGGTTTAGGGAGGCCATTCGCCCACTGCAGTGGCTAAGTCAGTAGAGGAGAGAGGTAGTAACTGGTACTAAGGGCTAAGGTTCAAAGCATTAAACCTAATGCCTCAAGGCGGTGTTTCTCACCCCAGAGCACTAGTTAAGGCAAGGATTTCGAGCCTGACTCCAGAGTTTCTGATTGGGTAGATCTGGCTGGGGCCTGAGAATTTGCACTTCTCACAAGTTCCAGGCGGTGCTGGTGCACACTGGTCAAACGCAATGCGTGGGGAGTTTTCCTCTTTAATTGTGGAGTGACACCAACCCACGTGACCACTCGGGCCAGTCTGGCTTGTGACAGTTTTTTCTGCCATCAGGAACAAAATCTGCCCAAACCTTCCCAGCTTTTGCACCGTGACTTCCAGGGAGCAGCTTTGTGTTTAAACACAGCCCCATCTCATGTAGTGTTAGAAAGGAATGGCCCCAGGCCGGGCGCAGTGGCCCATGCCTATAATCCCAGCACTTTGGGAGGCCGAGGCAGGCAGATCACTTTGAGCTCAGGAGTTCAAGACCAGCCTGGACAACGTGGCGAAACCCTGTCTCTACAAAAAAATACAAAGGTTAGCTGGGCATGGAGATGCGTACCTGTAGTCCCAGCTACTAGGGAAGCTGAGGCTGGAGAATTGCTTGAGCCTGGGAAGTGGAGGTTGCAGTGAGCCGAGATCATGCCCCTGCACTCCAGCCTGGGCAACAGAGTGAGATCCTGTCTCAAAAGAAAAAGAAAGACATAGCCCTGATTGCAGAGAGCTGCAGAAGGTGGAAGGTTTGGTAGCCCCCAGTGCATCTGGTGGCTTTCACCCTCTGGCTCAGTGGGCCATGGCCGGCAGTGACAGTCTACAATGCTACCTGTGCATTAGCAACAAGTGTGGCCCCATTATTTAAAAACTTAGTTATTCCCGGCTGAGGCGGGCGGATCACGAGGTCAGGAGATTGAGACCATCTGGCTAACAAGGTGAAACCCCATCTCTACTAAAAATACAAAAAATTAGCTGGGCGTGGTGGCCGGCGCCTGTAGTCCCAGCTACTCGGGAGGCTGAGGCAGGAGAATGGCGTAAAAGGAGCTTGCAGTGAGCCGAGATCGCACCACTGCACTCCAGCCTGGATGACAGAGCGAGACTCCGTCTCAAAAAACAAAAAAAAAAACTTAGTTATTCCCATTTCACAGGTATTAGGGTTTTGTTTTTAAAAGTTAATGTAGATCTGGGCCAGGCACGGTGGCTCACCCCTGTAATCCTAGCACTTTGGGAGGCTGAGGTGGGAAGATCACATAAGCCCAGGAGTTCAACACCAGCCTAGGCGACATAGTGGGACCCCGTCTCTACAAAAAATCAGAAAAAATTAGCTGGGCTTGATGTCATGTGCCCCATCTACTTGGGATGCTGAGGTGGGAGGATGGCTTGAACCTGGGAGGTCAAGGCTGTGAGAAGCTGTGATCATGCCATGGTACTCCAGCCTGGTTGGAGTCTCAAAAAAAAAATTCATGTAGATCCAGTCTACCCTGGCAGCATTCATTTTCCTCCCCGAAGGTCTGTATGTTTCAAGAGAGGTAAGGGATTTGTTCAAAGGAAATTGGAGGAAGGGGTTTCATACACTGAAGGTTAGTGCCTAAGAGGGGGCAGGAAGGGGCTCTGGAGCCCTTCGCTTTACCCTATGAGTGTTCTTGACCCCTGCTGCCCTTGTGCTGCATCCTTCTCAGTCCACACTTCTGCCTCTTGCCGTGCCTCTCCACTGCCTGGAAAACAAAGTGAACACTGAAGCCTCCCACTGGCGTCCATTGGCTGATATGTTTCCATTTCCACGCGTTTTCTAACCTCTGGATGAGAGAGTACATTCCTGCAATTGCTAAAGCTAAGTTTCCTATTTGGATTGTAGATAGCTATGGGCAGTAATGTGGTCTTCATTATATCAATAATAGGGCTCTGGCCAGGCGCCGTGGCTCACACCTGTAATCCCAGCACTTTGGGAGGCCGAGGCGGGCGGATCATGAGGTCGGGAGTTGGAGAGCAGCCTGGCCAACATGGTGAAACCCTGCCTCTACTAAATATACAAAAAATTAGCCGGGCGTGGTGGCACGTGCCTGTAATCCCAGCTACTCGGGAGGCTGAGGCAGGAGAATTGCTTGAACCCAGGAGGTTGCAGTGAGCTGAGATGGTGCCATTGTACTTCAGCCTGGGTGACAGAGCAAGACTCCGTCTTGAGAAAAATAATAATAATAATAGGGCCCCATTGGTTTATTCAGAGAGACTGAGAAAGCTGGAAGAGAGTAGCTTTTCCCAGTGTGAGTCAGTGCATCAGGTAGCCTGGAAAATCCTAGTAAACAAAAAGAAGTTTATACAACAACATTCTTTTCATAGCTGGTTTGTAGGCATGGCACCAAACCTTCACCTCTAAAATGCGAACCTTCAAGGAAACAGGATTTCAAGGTTTACTGGAGGGATGGGATTAGCCGAGGTCTGAGGGAAGAAGAGCCTGGAAACGAAGTCAATGTTTAAAGCTACTTATATTTACCAGAGTAAAAGGTTGAAAAGTTTCACTTTCGGAACTTTTTCAGTCTTTTACACTGATGCCAGAGTGATCTTTCTGAAGTGCATGTGTCGTGCTTGTTCTTTACTGTTAAAACAATTTCATGGTTGAAAACTATTAGCTAATTACCGAGTGTTCTTGTGTTCTTACTGTTTTAGTAAAATTACAATGATTTAAGTATTTGCATCCCTGCCTCCTCCCATGATTTTCATTGTATTTCTATCATATCATGCTATATCCCTTCTGCAAATATCCATACATAACCAGTTCCATGATTTCAGAGGTAGCGAGTCCAGTTGCCTCTGGAAAATTCAGTAGCCGAGCCAGAGTGTATGTGCATATTGTAAATGTGAAGTGGATGGGTGTGAGGAATGAATCATACACAGTACAGGATAGTGTGATGCTACAGAGTTGGGCTTTGGAGCATTTGGAGCTGGGTTGGGCCCTGCCTCGCTGACTGCTGGCCTCCCCGCCTCTGCATTTTGTCAGCTCCCCCACAGTCAGGGCAAGCCATCTGCTTCTGGAGGTGGCTAAGGGCAGAAGAGAAGGAGCCGCGTAAGGCAGTTTGCACGCCGTGAGTTCCCAGTCTACAGCAGCTGATGCTACAGCTTCTAAGTGTGAAATCCACATCTAGTTCTGAGTCATAAAGAGTTTCGATACAATCATAGGAACATTTATCTACATACCTTGTGATTTCATGAATTGCAGTTTATTGAAAATCAGGCTTCAGTGGAAGGGAGACTGGCCCCGGGGTTAGACTGTCCTTCCAACTGTCTCCTCACGAGGGAGCTGTGGGACGCCTCAACCGCTCAACCTCCAGGAGCTCTACTTTCCTTGCTCATATAAACAGCGGGTGGATTAGGTCCCCTTGGAAGTTCTTTCCAGCCCCCTGGTTCTGTAAGCATGTTGTACACACTAACTAGGTTCAGATCAACTTCGGTTAGACTATAAGAGGCAGGTGCACATGTATCCCCCGTAGTGGAATCTCGTTGGTATTTCATATAGTAAGTGATTGGCAGAAATAAGGATTTCATTGGGATAAAATCCTACCTGGTCCTCTAAAATAATGATTGCTCAACCAAAGCATACCTTTTCACCATTTGGGAGGGAATTTTTTATCACACAAAAAGTACATAATTATCATTCAGGTCATAGTAACCATGTGTATGGAACTAATATTTACTTTGAGGTACTACTGCAATATATAGAATTTCACAAAAAAATCCTACTAGTGCAAAGAGTGAGTAATTCAAATCCATAGTTTTTCCCTAGACTTTATTTTAGTGAATGGGGTTGCAAGAGCAGTTAGGAAGTAGCCATGTTTTAATGTTTTGACTTCTGTTGTGTTTTATTTTACCGTCAATTGCCATTGCTAATGAGTCTCTAGAAGCAAAAGAAAATCCCAGAATACTAAAGCTGCAGTTTCCAGAAGCAAGGTCTGATTCACTCTTACTTTGCAGATGAAGGGGCAGGAGCTCAGAAAGCAAGAAAGAAAGGAGCTCATTACCTGACCCAGGTCACACAGTCAGTCAGTGGCAAAGTAGAGATGTGACCCAGGCCTCCGGGCTCCAGCTCCTTTTACTGGATCTGGCTGCTGCCTCAGAAGCAAGGGCCTGGGTGATCAGCAGGTTGCACGGTTGAGCTGTGAGAGGCCAGAGTTACCACGCCTGTAGATGACTGGTGATCCCCTCCATGAAGCCAGTCGCCAGCAAGCAGCAAAGAGCAGAGCTGTAACTTGACTGTTGGTCGTGTGTGGATAGAGAGCTTTTCTGCCTGGTCTCCCATGTAGCCCCAGCCTCCTATCCTCGTGCCTGTTGCAGAATAGGTGCTAAGTAAATATTTGTTGACTGAAGGAACATAAGAGAAACCTCCCATGTCAGTGATGGAACATTTAGTTAACATGGCTTCTTTCTTCTTGAAGGTTCTTGAGCACGTGCCCCTGCTGCTGTATATCTTGGCAGCAAAAACATTAATTCTCTGCCTGGCATTTGCTGGAGTGAAAATATACCAAAGAAAAAGATTGGAAGCAAAACAACAAAAACTGGAGGCTGAAAGGAAGAAGCAATCAGAGAAAAAAGATAACTGAAGGTGAGTCCACAGTACCCGGCCTTGCAAGTGGGAGCTGGCCAGTGGGTTGGGGTGACCGACCAATGAACGAGAGAGGTCTGAGACTTCCCTGTCCTTCGGGTCTGAAGGGCTGCGTGGGGGCATGTGACCTCACCTGTTCTCTAAGGTAGAACCGCTCCATAAAGGGCCAGGTGTGCAGATCCTGGTCCTGGGATCTGAGTGCTGCTGAGCCAAGGCGCACGGAGGATGAGTTCATCCTTCTCGAAACCTGCAGTGGCAGTGGTTCTTGACAGGTATTGGGTTAAAAATTGAGGACTTAATGACAGCTGTGGACCTTCTTCCCAGAGAAGCACACATGCTAAAACCGTCTGCGTTTGTGTGTGGGGAGAAGTTTGCAGAAGTGAGGCGTCCAGGAGTACAAGACCAGCCTGGGCAACACAGCAAGACCCCTTCTCTACTAAACATTGTTTTACAAATCTAGCCAATGTGGTGGCATGCTTTTGTAGTCCTAGCTACTCAGGAGGCTGGGGTGGGAGGATTTATTGAGCCCAGGAGGCTGAGGCTGCAGTGAGCCGAGATTGTGCCACTGCCCCACTCTAGGCTAGGTGACAGAGTAGGATCCCATATCTTAAAGGTCATTTGAAATTCCAAGATTAAGAAACCCTGTTACCTTTAAGATAAAGTCTGACTCCATGGTATGACAAATAAATCCCTTCCCTGTCTGGTCTTAACCCAGACCTCATTTGCCACTTCTCTCCACTCCCCATCCCCCTGCAGGCCATTCCTCTGCCACCATGGCCTTTGGCCTTGCTTATTAGGTTCTTCCCAAGGACCTCCTCACCAGGCTTGAGGGTGCAGTCATCATTGTCACCCAGTGCCTATCACAGTACACACTGGCGGGCTTAGAACATACTTGGGGAGTTACAATACATCAAAGCACCAGAAAGTTACTGGTAAGCCCCTGTTACAGATTTAACACATGACAATTCACAATTACCCTGATTCCAGTGTGTTGATGCCATTTCTTCACTTTGCAGGTTGAGTGCTGTACTTTAAAAATCAGAGGATTCAGCAAGGTGTGGTGACTCATGCCTGTAATCCCAGTGCTTTGGGAGGCAGAGGTGGGAGGATCATTTGAGCCCATGAGTTCAAGACCAGCCTGGGCAACATAGTGAGACCCTGTCACTACAAACACTTAAAAAAAAAAAAAGCTTAGCCTCACACTTATTGGGTGTGGTGGCGCATGCCTGTAGTTTCAGCTACTCGGGAGACTGAGATGGAGTATGGCTTGAGCCCAGGAGTTCAAGGCTGCAGTGAGCCATGATCACACCACTGCACTCCAGCCTGAGTAACAGAGTGAGACTGTCTAAAAAAAAAAGGATTCAAATGTGGTGGTGGGGGGGTTCTAGGTCAGTGGTTCCCAAACCTAGCTGACGATCATAATTGCCCAGGTGTTTGTTTAAATGAAGATTCCCAGGCTTCAGCCCAGAGAGATTCCATAATGGCTCTGGTTAGGTTTGGGTGTCTGGGTTTTTTGTTACTGTTTTTAAGATATGGGATCCTACTCTGTCACCTAGGCTAGAGAGGGGCAGTGGCACAATCTCAGCTCACTGCAGCCTCAGCCTCCTGGGCTCAGGCAGTCCTCCCACCTCAGCCTCCCGAGTAGCCAGGACTACAAGAGCATGCCACCACACCGGCGAGGTTTTTAAAACAATTTTTAGTAGAGAAGGGGTCTTGCTGTGTTGCCCAAGCTGGTCTTGTACTCCTGGGCTCAAGCGATACTTTCACCGCAACCTCCTGAAGTGCTGAGGTTACAGGCGTGAGCCACTGTGCCCAGCCTCTGCTCTTTTGAAAACCCATTAGATAATCCTTAGGTTGTCTTCTCAGCAACAGGTAGGAACCACTGGGCTAGGTGGCCTCCCAAACCCAGCCCACTCTGAGATTCCATGCTTCTGTCAGTAGGAATACCCTTGCAGTGCCATCAGGCTTGTTGAGGCTAAAGGCCTACTGATGAGGAATAGTAGCAACACCTACTGAGTGGTTATTCGGTGCTGGGGACTTTGCTAAGCATTTCATGCACAACCGTGTTATTCAACCGTGATGACTCTGTGAGGCATGTTCAGATTGAAAGAATGGCTCACTCTACATGGTGAAGAACAGAACCAGAAATCGATCCCAGGTCAAATGCATTCAATCACCAAGCCCAAGCTGCACTGCCTTCCCGAATACAGGCAAGTGAGCTCATAGGGACGCTTCGCTCTCTGTTACTCACCCCTTCTGGCATCTGCTCACTTGCTGGTCCTCAGTGAACTGTAGGCTTTTGCTAGATAGAAGAAGTTACTTACTTACTTTCTTTTTTTTTTTAAAAGGTGTTTTATTGACTGAAATTTAGGAGTAGGCATTACGATGGGGAGGAGAGAAATTAAAAAGGGTGAGGGAAGGCAGTTTAGATTAAAATCTTGCTGATTGAATTTATATTCCTGACAATCCCCATTTTGTGTGCTAAACTGATCAAAGGAAGAAAAGATGAGATGGAAGATCATAAAGGCGTCGTCCCTCCCACAAACATCACCAGAGACCTGTAGTTAAGTCAGGGCTGGATGGCTTAGAAGCAGCTCAGGGAGCTGGTCTTCCTCTGTAGGCTGGCAGAAAGCTCTTAAAGACTAGAGACTTCCTTCAAACTAAAAGGGTTTTCAGGTCGGGTGTGGTGGCTCACGCCTGTAATCCCAGCACTTTGGGAGGCCGAGGCGGGTGGATCACTTGAGGTCAGGAGTTTGAGACCAGTCTGGCCAACATGGCGGAACCCTGTCTCTACTAAAAATACAAAAATTAGCTGGGCGTGCTGGCACGCACTGGTAATCCGTTACTCGGGAGGCCGAGGCGTGAGAATCACTTGAACCTGGGAAGCAGAGGTTGCAGTGAGCCGAGATTGTGCCACTGCACTCCAGCCTGGGTGACAGAGACTCTGTTTTTAAAAAAAGTAAAAAATAAAAGGGGGGTGGGGTGTTTCAGATGGAAGGGAAACTGTGATGCTAAAAATACATTCATTAATAAATAGACTTGAGCAATCAACTTGAGTGGTGTCCGCTTGTTAAGTTTAAATGGTTGAGCAGAGGTCTTTATGCTGAGCAGTAAACCTCAGGTATACTCTTATCAAACATTTCCTACTCATCCCTTTGGTTTTCCCTTCTAGATTCTGCCATGTAAATGTCAGCTTGAGTGGACTCCAGCTAAGAAGAAAGAAGAAATACTTAATTATTGAATACATTGTCAGAGGATAAACTCCCAACCTAGACCTTGCACTTACAATAGTGTGAATTTGTCCATGTTTTTAAAAGAACCAGTCCTGGCCGGGTACGCTGGCTCTTACCTGAAACCCCAGCACTTAGGGAGGCCAAGGCAAGTAGATCACCTGAGGTCGGGAGTCTGAGACCAGCCTGGCCAACGTGGTAAAACCCCGTCTCTACTAAAAATACAAAAATTAGCCGGGTGTAGTGGTGCACGTCTGTAATCCCAGCTACTCAGGAGGCTGAGGCAGGAATTCTCTGCTTGAACCCGGGAGGTGGAGGTTGTAGTGAGCCTAGATCGCACCACTGCACTCCAGCCTGGGCAACAGAGCAAGACTCCATCTCAAAAAAAAAAAAAAAAATTAAAATCAAAATTAGAAACATAAATAAAAGACCCAGTATTTTGTTTACTAAATAAAATGCCTTTGTAAAAAAAGGTGTCGTGGCCTTTGGAATAAGTCAAATTGTATATCTCTTTCTCTTTCTCTTACACAGCACCCTCCACCCCATGTTGTAAAGGGGGGTGGTTTGTAAACCCACACCTCCCCCACCATCTCAAGCTGGGAGTTCCCAGGTGAGTGGCTTCCACAGAGGACAAGGTGGTGCAGAAACATCTGCTGTGGAGGTGGAGGTGGGGTCCCCAGCACTGGGTGCCTCAGCCAGCTACCCCCGACCCCGGGCCCCCTCATAGGCTGCCCTCCGTACCCTCCTTTCTCCTCTTTTCCTCCTACAGGTGCCAGACCCCTGTGAGAGTGTTTCAGAGTGTTTTCATAGTTAGGGTGGAGGGAGGCTGTGTGCGTCCAGGTGAGCTGGCCCCGGCGGGGAGTCGTGGGAGCCCACCCGTGTGCCTCAGAAGTCCAAGGCGGGGGATCTGCTGACCAGTAGACACTCATGTGCTAAACACAAGTGCTTTTCTAGGCTTTGGGATTTAAAGCTACACTTTGGAATTTGTGGAAGATCTGGCCATCTTGGAAAATTAGGTAGAAGATGACATAAGGACTGGACTAAACCACTGATCACGCCAGCGGTGCCCACGGCTTTTCTGTTGTTTGTTTTTGTTTTTTTGGAGATGAGGTCTTGCTGTGGCCCCCAGGTTGGAGTGCAACGGTACAATCATAGCTCACTGTAGCCTCGAACTCCTGAGCTCAAGCTATCTTCCCACCTCAGCCTCCCGAGGAGCCGGGACTAGGCCCTGCTAATTTTTTATTTTTAGTTGAGACAAGTGTCACGCTGCACTGCCCAGGCTGGGTGTAGGTTTTTTGTGAAGAGCATTTGGGAGTTTTGTTTTTGCTTTGTTACTTTTCCTGTACACTCTTCAACCACTAGGGGGAGATGATTAATCACTAATTGAAGGGATTTTGTTCGTTTTTTATGTTCTGAGTTTTTTTGTTTGTTTTTTTCAGTAAAGAAGGAGTTTAACTGAAGTAAGGCAGGCCACGCAGGAGATGGAGTTATTATTCACGTCGGTCTCTGAAGGCTCAGAGGTTAGGGGTTTTCAAGGTGGAGTTCTTAGGTACGTGAAGTCGGTAGATGTGTAGTTTGATGTTAAATTATTGGTCAGATGCATGCACCGCTGGTTGTAGAGACTGGTAAAGCCCACTAGCAGGACCCCACCTGGACCACAGCGATCCCGCAACCCTCTGGACTATGACCGAAAACAAACACAAAGGACCTGAGATATGTTGCAAGGCCAGAAGCCGACATCCACATTCTCCACCCACGGAGAGCCCCAGAGTCCCTCATGCACATCCTGCTTGATCATATTACACACATTCACACATTCCGAACACATTTGTTTGGTTTTCACGCTTACAACATACTAGAAACGGGAAGGAAGAAAGACTGTCAGCAACAGAAATACCTTTGAGTAAGAGGGACGGTCTTTGAGAAGCAGACTTGAGAACTCACAGTGTGCTCTTCATGTGCCAGACACTGCAGCAGCCACAGCGTCCCACATGGGATGCCGCATGTGATGATGTTATGCTCCTCGCGATGACCTCAGGCATGAGGAAGAGGTTCAGCCGTTTCACAGTCTGTTTAACAAGTACATACATAACCCAGACGTACATGAGGAATCTCAGAAACCAAATAATTCAAAGAGTCTGGGATTCTCTCAAAAGGGTTGCCTCTGCCCAAGCTTTCTTCAAATTCTGTCTATAGGGAAACATAGCTGTCAATGTCTCATTCCCGAAGCCTTCCAGATGCCTGGATCTTTAGAGTTCTCTCCCTCACCCTGAGCTGAGTACACAAATGTTCCTGGAGGTCTGCTTAGTGCCCTGCTCTGTGCTGGGCGCCACAGGCAGAGATGGCAGGTAGCCAGGCCTGACACTGGAGAGCTCCTGCGCCACTGCCGGAAACACACGCACCATCACACCGTGAGGGAGGTCCCCCGTGCAGGCCTCATCTGTGTCAGAGTGAAGCCAGAGGATGGACGGGGGAGAGTCCAGGAGAAGAGAAAGGAGGATGGATTCTCAAATATGAGCAAGCAGGAGAGGCCGTTTAAAATGCAGACCCTGGCCTGGTGCGGTGGCTCATGCCTGTAATCCCAGCACTTTGGGAGGCCGAGGCAGGAGGATCACCTGAGGTCAGGAGTTTGAGACCAGACTGGCCAACATGGTGAAACCTTGTCTCTACTTAAAAAAAAAAAAAAAAAAAAAAAAAGTTAGCTGGGCGTGGTGGTGCGTGCCTGTAATCCCAGCTACTCGGGAGGCTGAGGCAGGAGAATTGCTTGAACCCGGGAGGTGGAGGTTGCAGTGAGCCGAGATCGCACCACTGCACCCCAGCCTGGGTAAAAGAGTGAGACTCTGTGTCAAAACAAACTAAAAACTAAAAATAAAATGCAGACTCCTGGGCTGGATTCCAGGTCCAGTGCATCAGAACCTATGGGAGAAGGACCAGGAATTTGTGATACGAACATACCCAGGCAATTCTTGACCCTTCTTTTGAGACCTACGCTGTAAAGATGGGTAGAGGGAGAGGCAGCAGGAGCCTAGCCTGGGAAGGAGCCATGGGGGTAGGCGGGAGGAGGGGCAGGAGAGAGCGTGTGTGGCAGCAAATCCTTCAGCCCTTACTCCCCAAGAACTCACAGCAGCCTGCATGGAGGGTAATGGTATCATTATCCCCTTTTCGCAGATAAGGAAACTGAGGCAGAGAGGCCCTGCCTAAGGTCACCCAGCTGGTGGGAGGCAGAGACAGGCACCAGTCCTCATGGTCTCACTGAGACTGGACTCTTCATAGCTGTGCTTTCGAGTCTGAGCCAAGTAAAAAGAGGACTAGCAAGAATTTTTGTACTTCGAAGTCTGGGACATAAAATCTTCAAGACGTCGGCGTCAGTGACACGATGGTGACAGAGGCCAGCATTGCTGGAAGGATCCTTAAAAGGGACAGGATGGGCCCTTCTTCCTCCCTTTCTCCTTTTTGGTTGCTGGAATACTAATGCAATGGCTTGTTCCACAGCCACTTTGGACTCAGAGGTGTCTTTGAGACCTGAACCGAGTCTAGGACAATGGAGTAAAAAGATAGGATCCTGGGCTCTCAATGACTATGGATCCATTATTTCACCCCTGAACTGATACCTTGATACTTCTTATTTTTGGTGGTGGTGGTGGTGTAGCTTCTATTTCGTTGGCATCTCTGTGATCTATTCATAATTCACCTGTTTTAGCTGAAACATGGAGCCAGATAGAGATGGGCTCAAGGGCTTCCTGATAGGAAGACTTGGATTCTGGTCCCGACCCTCCTGTTACTACTGTTATGTACGTGGTTGGGTACAGGTTAGGCCCCAGCCTGGCCTTTGTAAAATGAGCTCAATGATCACTGCCCTCCGTACTGTACAGTGTTCATCTGAACTGAATGAGGTCAAGCATGTAAAGATGGTCCGCATGTGACAGCACAATCACAAATGGAAGGGTGTATACTGCCTGGGTGGGCAACTCAGCCACCAGTTGGCCAGGCAGGGGCTCCATCCAACCCAATTGGATTGAGCCAATGGCCAACGAACCCCATTTGCTAGTTTACCTCTTGGCTCCTTCTAGTGCACTGTTTCCTAATGTACCTCCACCTTGGAAGCCACCTTGGTCCGTGGGAGGGAGAGGGGCTGTGGGTGTTAGTGATGGGAAAGGTCAGAGAGGATGGGATGTTCCATCAGCCAACCACTCAGAAGGAGAATAGCGCCACCAACATCAGGAGCTCTCTTCTAGTGAACATGTCTAGAGATACGTGGCTCAGCCCGGTGTTGCTGCGTGTGGTCACCCGCTCTTGACTAAATACAGTGCTCTAAATACGGTTGCTCCCAAAGAGACTGTGGGCTGTCCTCACCAGCCGTCCTGTCCCACCCCCACCAGAAGAAACCTCTTCTTATTATTAATTCCCTAACCAACTGCAGATATTGCAGATAGTCTTAAAGGAAATGCCAGAGAACAAAGTTTCCTCTGATCAAAGTATCTTAAGATGTGTCTACTCTCATTAGATGCCAGTGATAAAAAGGAACAAAAGTTTTTCTCAAAGAATGTAAAGGAAATGAGATCAGTGATGATAGGTCTAATTGTGGACATGTTTGCTTCGACCTTAGCATGGACCACTCACTCAGTGGGTGCCAGACATGATGCAGTGGCTTGGCGCAGGTTATGTGATGTTTTGTTTTGTTTGTTTGTTTGTTTGAGACGGAGTCTTGCTCTGTCATCCAGGCTGGAGTGCAGTGGCACGATCTCAGCTCACTGCAACCTCTGCCTCCCGGGTTCAAGCAATTCTTCTGCCTCAGCCTCCTAAGTAGCTGGGATTACAGGCATGTGCCACCATGCCAGGCTAAGTTTTGTATTTTTAGTAGAGATGGGTTTTTGCCATGTTGTCCAGGCTGGTCTCGCACTCCCAACCTCAAGTGATCTGCCCACCTTGGCCTCCTAAAGTGTTGGGATTATAGGTGTGAGCCACTGCACCCGGCCAGGTTATGTGATTTTTAAAGTCCCACTGTATTTTATTAAGGAGTTGATTGAGCCTCAAGGAAGTAAAGCAACTTATCCAGAACATATAGCTACGAAGCTAGAAACTCAAGATTCCAACTAGGTCCATCCAATTCCAAAAGCCCGGTGAATTTTCTATTACTTTCTATGAGAAGTTTTCAGGTTTAGTATAAAGCAACATTTCTTAATTATGAATACAATCTTATGTAACCAAATTGCACATTAAAGCATAGTCCTTTTGATCCTTCTTTCCTCTTTTCTAATAGTTTTACAAGGCCTCAAAGGAATAGAACGCTAAATCTGTTTTATTAAATTGCTTTAGTTTTCAAACAAAAATAGCTCCTGTTGGTTTATCTTTAGCTGTTAACCTAAACACATTCCTTTTTTTATCGCTGCAAAATAGTGTGTATTTAAAAGATATTCTGTCTCCTCTTTAATATTATGTTGAAATAAAATTTTCTGGTGTCCAGGGGGAGTT